AATTTGCGATAAACCTTTCTTTTGTAGAATTTTTCTTTTTATAGAAATTTTTTTAAACTATTTTCTTTTTGTTTAGAAAATGTTTAATAAAACAACATTTTTTTTTTAAATTTTCAATTAATTTTCCATTTTTAGAAATATAATTCTCTTAAATTGTCGCAAATCTACGAGATTTAGTTGAAAATAATTGCAACCATTACGATTCATTGTAATCTGTTGGCACAATTAAATGTAAACCGGGTAAATGCTTACTCATTACACATGTATGCATTAAATTTTATTTGTTTGACGTAAGAAATTGCATTTTAATGTCTCTGTCGCAATTGTGTTTGGCAGTCAGTTGACTGTCTTTTCTCCTCCCTTTTATACTATGTATAGCAACAAATAAATACGTGTGTTAAATGTCGACCTTCAATATTTTGTGGCACTTTTAGCAAGAGAAATAAAGAATCCGCCTATCAACTAAAAATAATATTGATTTAAAAATGTATTCATATCGAAACTGTCGTTATTTCAGCATCTACAAATGAAATTAATACAATTGAGTTTTAGTTTAGACATCAATGATACCCACTGCAAAACATATTGCTCCACATTCATGTGTTTATTTTATTTTTTTTTACTTTTGGTGAAAATACTCCTCCTGTCTTTTGGAATTCTAAAACTGCAAATAACATTTGTGGTTTTTGTTAATTGGTGTGTGAACATGGATGCCAACACAGCCGTTTGAATGGCTGTGATATGTGAAAGACAGTGAAAAATGATTGACAGTCAGTGCCACTGCCATAGCACTTTAAAAACACATAACAATATGTAATTTAGTGAATTTTATTGTTATTGTACGAGTAAATAGTAGAGTAAGTAGTTGTTTTTGTTTGTTTATTTGTCCTTAGTTTTGTTTGTGAATGCAGTCAATTATCAAGGATAATTAGATTGTACGACTAATGTTTCATTGGCAGCGAACACTGCCAAATAATGAAAGATTAGATGACGATGATGATGACGATAATAATGATACATAGTTGTTAGAAGTTTTATTGTTTTATAGGTTAATTGTAATGTCATTAGAAAAAAATCGATTTTAATAAAATACTAGTCTACGTACGAGGGTAGATCGAAAGCAACAGAAGCTGAGTGAATAAAATGACTAAACAATATTAAAAGAATATAACTACAAATCAACTAACGTGATACTTAATAAAATTGACTGTCGTGAGTTGTGTTTGTGTCGCGCTAAACGTCAGAATAAAGTAAATAAATATATATTTACGCGTGTCGTGGTAATGTTCGGGTCGAAAATGCTAATAATATTAAATATAAATTCCTAATCGCGTATTTACACTCTATGAGATACGTTTTTTTAAATAAACTTTGCGTGATAAGCTTTGAATTAAATTAAAATAAAATATATAACACTGGCTTCATTTAATAGAAATAAAAATATCATCATGTTGAAAATTTCCTGGGCGTACGCATTACGAAAAGACGACCTGTTGAAAATAGATCTAGACTATAGACTAGACTATAGACTAGACTATAGACTAGACTATAGACTAGACTATAGACTAGACTATAGACTAGACTATAGACTAGACTATAGACTAGACTATAGACTAGACTATAGACTAGACTATAGACTAGACTATAGACTAGACTATAGACTAGACTATAGACTATAGACTAGACCATAGACTAGACTATAGACTAGACTATAGACTAGACTATAGACTAGACTATAGACTAGACTATAGACTAGACTATAGACTAGACTAGACTATAGACTATAGACTAGACTATAGACTAGACTAAGACTAGACTATAGACTAGACTATAGACTAGACTATAGACTAGACTATAGACTAGACTATAGACTAGACTATAGACTAGACTATAGACTAGACTATAGACTAGACTATAGACTAGACTATAGACTAGGACTATAGACTAGACTATAGACTAGACTATAGACCTAGACTATAGACTAGACTATAGACTAGACTATAGACTAGAACTATAGACTAGACTATAACTAGACTTAGACTAGACTATAGACTAGACTATAGACTAGACTATAGACTAGACTATAGACTAGACTATAGACTAGACTATAGACTAGACTATAGGACTAGACTATAGACTAGACTATAGACTAGACTATAGACTAGACTATAGACTAGACATAGACTAGACTATAGACAACTATAGACTAACTATAGACTAGACTATAGACTAGACTATAGACTAGACTATAGACTAGACTATAGACTAGACTATAGACTAGACTATAGACTAGCACTATAGACTAGACTATAGACTAGACTATAGACTAGACTATAGACTAGACTATTGACTAGACTATAGACTAGACTATAGACTAGACTATAGACTAGACTATAGACTAGACTATAGACTACACTATAGACTAGACTATAGACTAGACTATAGACTAGACTATAGACTAGACTACAGACTAGACTATAGACTAGACTACAGACTAGACTATAGACTAGACTATAGACTAGACTATAGACTAGACTATAGACTAGACTATAGACTAGACTATAGACTAGACAATAGACTAGACTATAGACTAGACTATAGACTAGACAATAGACTAGACTATAGACTAGACTATAGACTAGACTATAGACTAGACTATAGACTAGACTATAGACTAGACAATAGACTAGACTATAGACTAGACTATAGACTAGACTATAGACTAGACTATAGACTAGACTATAGACTAGACTATAGACTAGACTATAGACTAGACTATAGACTAGACTATAGACTAGACTATAGACTAGACTATAGACTAGACTATAGACTAGACTACAGACTAGACTATAGACTAGACTATAGACTAGACTATAGACTAGACTATAGACTAGACTATAGACTAGACTATAGACTAGACTATAGACTAGACTATAGACTAGACTATAGACTAGACTATAGACTAGACTATAGACTAGACTATAGACTAGACTATAGACTAGACTATAGACTAGACTATAGACTAGACTATAGACTAGACTATAGACTAGACTATAGACTAGACTATAGACTAGACTATAGACTAGACTATAGACTAGACTATAGACTAGACTATAGACTAGACTATAGACTAGACTATAGACTAGAATATAGACTAGACTATAGACTAGACTATAGACTAGACTATAGACTAGACTATAGACTAGACTATAGACTAGACTACAGACTAGACTATAGACTAGACTATAGACTAGACTATAGACTAGACTATAGACTAGACTATAGACTAGACTATAGACTAGACTATAGACTAGACTATAGACTAGACTATAGACTAGACTATAGACTAGACTATAGACTAGACTATAGACTAGACTATAGACTAGACTATAGACTAGACTATAGACTAGACTATAGACTAGACTATAGACTAGACTATAGACTAGACTATAGACTAGACTATAGACTAGACTATAGACTAGACTATAGACTAGACTATAGACTAGACTATAGACTAGACTATTGACTAGACTATAGACTAGACTATAGACTAGACTATAGACTAGACTATAGACTAGACTATAGACTAGACTATAGACTACACTATAGACTACACTATAGACTAGACTATAGACTAGACTATAGACTAGACTATAGACTAGACTATAGACTAGACTATAGACTAGACTATAGACTAGACTATAGACTAGACTATAGACTAGACTATAGACTAGACTATAGACTAGACTATAGACTAGACTATAGACTAGACTATAGACTAGACTATAGACTAGACTATAGACTAGACTATAGACTAGACTATAGACTAGACTATAGACTAGACTATAGACTAGACTATAGACTAGACTATAGACTAGACTATAGACTAGACTATAGACTAGACTATAGACTAGACTATAGACTAGACTATAGACTAGACTATAGACTAGACTATAGACTAGACTATAGACTAGACTATAGACTAGACTATGGACTAGACTATATTCTAGTCTTCAATCTATAGACTAGTCTAGTCTATAATTTAGTTTATATACTATATGCTAGACTAGACTAATACTGCTAGACTAGACTAGACTAGACTAGACTATAGACTAGACTATAGACTAGACTATAGACTAAACTATAGACTAGACTATAGACTATATTCTAGTCTACAATCTATAGACTAGTCTAGTCTATAATTTAGTTTATATACTATATGCTAGACTAGACTACCATGTGGACTACTTATCAAAAGTTTATAATTTTGAAAAAGTTCCGAAAATGTCGTGTGGGAACCGCGGTATTTTTCAATATCAAAAGTACTGAAAAAGTTTCTAAAGTACTAAATTTTCCATGCCTGGTCTGTGTGATCGACCGAGAGTATAAAAGACTTATCAACAGTAGTACAATGGGCAGTTTATTTTCGGCTGCTGATAAGGTAAATAGTTTCCTAGCTAAGTTACTATGTCAATAAATTTTAATTGGTTGACCTGCCTTTCGTTTATAATATAAAAATTAATTATTTGTAATATTATGAGAATGTGTGTGGTGTTGTTATTTTAATTTAAATAAATAAATATTCCTTTAATTTAAATAAAGTTTATAACGTTTGAAATGAAAATATTTAAAGTTTGTTCTTATTAAATACATTTCTGGCAGGACCCTAGCCAAGGCTGAGCTACCCTAGCGTTGAGAAAACAACTCTTTACGAACTAAAAATATTACAATATTGTAAAGTAGTAAATACTGTTATATTTGCAAATTTCCTTCGAAAACAGTTAAATATGTTATTAATAATCTTTAAGACATTCCTAGAAAATTAAATCAACTGATATAAACATTTTTACTTTATCTCTTTACTCCTTATATTTTCTCAACACGTTTCAAATACTTAAGACCCAAAGTCGTCTGCGTACATACATTAATACTTTTTCAACTGTTTATAAAATTCTTAAAAGAATAAAAAACTAAAAACTTTTAAATTTCTTTCATTGCAGTTAAACCAAAACAAGAAACTTCCAATAAAGACTAAACATGTTGCCGCTAGTCTTAGTGCGTCACAGTAGAGCAAACAAATGAATCTAAAGCCCACGACTATAAATATAAATGTAATTTTCTCAGAAATAACAACAACATCAAAACCAATAACTATTTTAAAGAACTGACAAAAAACATTTGAAATATTTTTTTTTAATATTAACAAAAAACTATTAAACAGAAACAATGCATCAGGTACTAAGTTATGAAACAGCAGTGCGTGCCAATAATGTGTCAGAATATCGGGAATATGTCACCAAACGGACCTGCATCAGTTTAGTGGTAACAATTGCATTTTTACATTAATCTCGGGTGAGTAAACAATAGAGATTTATTATTTTTGTAATTGGACGAGAGCTAGAATTCATAAAGAAGCGGGTAACTAACGAACTAACTCACAACTAACGAACGAACGACTAACTACTAAAACTAACTAAACTAACTAACTAACGAACGAAAGAAACGAAAGAACGAACGAACGAACAAACGAACGAACGAACGAACGAACAAACGAAACGAACGAAAACGAACGAAGAACGAAGAACGAACGAACGAACGAACGAAAACGAACGAACGAACAAAGAACTAAACGAAGAAAGAACGAAGAACGAACGAAGAACGAACGAACGAAACGAACGAACGAACGAACGAACGAAGAAACGAACGAACGAACGAACGAACACGAACGAACGAACGAACGAAGAACGAACGAACGACGAACGAAACGAACGAACGAACGAACGAACGAACGAAACTAACGAACGAACGAACGAACGAACGAACGAACGAACGAACGAACGAACGAACGAACGAAAACCGAAACGAACGAACGAACGAACGAACGAACGAACGAACGAACGAACGAACGAACTAACGAACGAACGAACGAAACGAACGAACGAACGAAGAACGAACGAACGAAACGAACGAAACGAACGAACGAACGAAACGAACGAACGAACGAACGAAAACGAACGAACGAACGACGAACGAACGAAGAACGAAAAAAACGAACGAACGAACGAACGAACGAACGAACGAACGAACGAACGAACGAAGAAACGAACGAACGAACGAACGAACGAACGAACGAACGAAACGAACGAAGAACGAACGAACGAACGAACGAACGAACGAACGAACGAAAGAACGAACGAACGAACGAACGAACAACGAAACGAACAAACGAACGAACGAACGAACGAACGAACGAACGAACGAACGAACGAACGAACGAACGAACGAACGAACGAACAACGAACGAACGAACGAAAAGAACGAAGGAACGAACAACGAACGAAACGAACGAACGAACGAACGAACGAACGAAAACGAACGAACGAAGAACGAACGAACGAACGAACGAACGAACGAACGAACGAAACGAAACGAAGAACGAACGAACAACAAACGACGAACGAACGAACGAACGAACGAACGAACGAAACGAAACGACGAAGAACGAACGAACGAACGAAACGAACGAACGAACGAACGAAACGAACGAACGAACGAACGAACGAACGAACGAACGAACGAACGAACGAACGAAACGAACGAACGAACGAAAACTAACGAAAATAATAATAACTAAATGAAACTAAATAACTGAATAATAAACTAAAAATAACGAACTAAACTAACTAAAAAGAACTAACTAAAAACAAAAAACAACAAAAACCAACCAACCAAAACCAAAAAAAAATAACTAAAGATATCTAACTGACTGACTGACTGATGACTGACTGACTGACTGACTGACTTACTGACTGTCTGACTGACTGGCTGACTAACTGACTAACTAACTAACTAATAAACTAAATTTTTTTCTGTCCCGAATCTTAGACAATTTTTTTTGCTCATTACCAAATTTTCGATAAATTATATTTTTAAATTTTTAGGAAATGTTAAATAATTTTTTTATAGGAAATGTTAGATACATTTTCTTTTTATTGAAAATCTTCGATAAAACCAATATAATTAAAATTAATTAAGTATCAATTACTTCTCATCTCATTCCAGGCTATTTATTGGGCAATTTCGTGTCAGAACGTAAAAATCACATACGTATGCTGCTGACAAAAAAGGCCATTAGTTCTCCGCCCGATGATAAATCATCACAAACCATTGATATCACAAGTACTGATTACATGAACTTACAGGAATTACACGCCTATCAAAAGACCAAATCCAAACTCTTAGCATCAGCTGAATCACTTAGTAAACTGCTGCAGCGTGATGAAAGCTATCGCTCAACCTCATTGAATACGGAAATATTTAACAAGTACATATCGTGTACCCAAGATGTACCACCCAATACGAACATCGAAACCAGTAAATTTATTGAACAACTGGTTGACAATACATCTGCCAGACAAAGAGATTGTATGCGAATAATACAAGTTATAATTGAAAATAGTTTGATAACGACTTAAAGCGAACATTAAGGAGATGCATAGTATATTATTTTTTACCTCTCTAATAGAAATTAGTAGCAGTGTTCACGGTCTCAAGTATTAGACTTTTCAGTCTATGAGAAAATTTCTAAAATATGTATATTTTGTCTAAAAACAAACATTAAATCATTTGTGCTTCAGATCGTCTAGAAAATTATAATTTTAAAATAAATTTAAAATGGCTTATTTTGTAAGTTAAAAAAATTTTAAGATTTACTGGTTGGGTTTAATATTAACCGCTTCACAAAGTGTTAACAGCACCGACAAATTTTCAAATTTTTAACAAGCATGTGGAGGGAAAGATGTGGACACATTACAAATCGATAAAAATATTTTGTTAGTTATTAACAATGGATTAATTTTCATAAAATATGCAAAATAGTTAATCGTAACAAATGAAATATTGCCCTAATTTATAATTTTAACACACAGTCTCCCAAAAACAAACACACACATACATATTTGTATTTGATAAGGTAAAAATGTTTTTATGAAAATGACAGATGACGTATTATATTTAAATTTTTTTGTATAGTCTATTAAGTATATATATTTTTATTGGTGTGCTCAAATATTTTTATTTCTTTTTTATATATGTATGTTATTTTTTTTAAAGAAAAAAAAAATTAAATGAAAAAAATAAACAATTTTAAAAAATAATCATATATATGAATGTTGATATGAACACTACTCTAAAGTAAAATAATGACATAAAAGTATCAAATAGTATTTTTTAAGAAAACAGAGATAAATGAATTTAAACAATATAGAAATAACATTCATATTTATAAATTTCATTCCAGGTACAATTATTATACCTGAGAAATATATACACTCAAACAAATGATGTTCATTGAGTGGCATTTACTTCATCATTAAGGATGTCAAAAGTGGAGAAAAAAATAGTTTTGCTTTTATTTGAATCTCGGCAATCTATGTTATGAATCCCAGCAGTTATTCAACTATTTCTATTATCGTTTCTTTTAAAGTAAAATCAGTAAAACTACCCAAGATTTCTATTGCTGATATCTAGACAAAATTTAAAAGAATTTACATTCTTATTAAACATTTTTAACCAATTTTATTGCTAAAATTGTCCGAAATTGTATTCACTAGTGAAATTGACCTAAAAGTCAGGCTTGGGAGGTAATGACTACATTTTCAATTACAATTACATTTGAAGTAATTGTAATTGAAGCATTACCAATTACAATTACATGTAATTTTAATTGAAGTTTTCCCAATTACAATTATTTTTAATTGTAATTGAAGTTTACAATTAATTGTAATTGAAGTTTACAATTACTTGTAATTGTGAATTTTGTTCCTTATAATTACATGTAATTTGTAATTAGTAATAGCTAAATTACAATTACAAGTAATTGTAATTGAAAATTTCAATTACAAATACAAGTAATTGTAATTAGTTATTTGTCAATTACACATTACAAGTAATTGTAATTGGAAAAATTTCAATTACAATTACAAGTAATTGTAATTGGTTATTTTTCAATTACACATTACAAGTAATTGTAATTGACCTTGTAATTAATTACTTTGTGTAATCATTACCCCCTATTCCTGCTAAAAGTTAAACATTTTAATAATTTTCATAAAGAAATTCGTCTTTCGAAAATTGAAAACTTACAACATGGTTTGTTATAGAAAAATTTCGATTAAATTTTTTTTATATAAAAGTTTTTTTTTTAAAATAATTTTCATAAAGAAATTCGAATATTCAAAACTTTCTGATAAAATCTTTATTTATAGAAACTTTTCGATAACACAGGCCAACGATGAAAAAAAACTTATAATTCTCACTAATACCAGTGTTATTTCGTGTGCAGATTCCGAAGAGGGGTTATATAGGGGCAAAGGTAAATATGGTCATATCCATATAAATTTTGGTAGACCGATTTATGATGATATTAAAGTTAGTTATGCAGAATTTCATCGTGATAATAGTTTTTTAAAGTTAATTTTCACCTTCAAGTCATTTTCTGAAGGGGTCTTTGTAGAGGGGGCTAGGGTCAAATGAGACCCAATCATTACGAAAATCTAAAGAATCATTTAAACTTATATAAAACTAAGATTTGCCGTTTTTAGTAGAGATTCTGCAAAATTTAACATAATTATAAGCTCAAACGCCCTATTCCAGGGGTACGGCTTTATGAGTGCTAGACGAAATAATGGACCGATTTCAACCATTTTCAATAGGCTTCGTCCTTAGGTCAACAGTAGATTATGTGCTTATATGTTCATCGAAAATTGCGACCTGTAGCGTACACACAAGGTTAACATGGACAGACAGACGGATGGACTTAGAAAGTAATTCTGAGTCGATTGGTATACTTTAAGGTGGGTGTAAGACTAATATTTTTGGGTGTTACAAACATCAGCACAAATGCATAATTGTGTAATTTTTTTATAAATTTCGATACTGTTTCTTCTTTATAAATAATTTTAAATAAAATATTATTTTTAGGAAAATCTTTTTCTAGATCGACAAAATTTACTTTTTATTGAACAATTTTTTTTCTAAAAAATTTTTTCTTCATATGAAATTTTCTCTTTACAGAAAATTTACTCATTATAAGAATTTTTATATTTATAGATATTTTTTATAGAAAAATTTCGATCAAATTTTCCTGTTATAGAAAATTTTTGATTAATATATAGAATTTTTTTTCCATAAAATTTTCGTGTTACAGAAAATTTTCGATAAGATTTACTGTTTATAGAAAATTTTCGATAAAATTTTCTGTTTATAGAAAATTTTCGATAAGATTTTATCTTTATAGAAAATTTTCGACAACATTTTTTCTTTATAAAAAATGTTTGATAAAATTTTCTCTTTATAGAAAGTTTTCGGTAAAATTTTCTCTTTATAGAAAAATTTCGATAAAAATTTCTCTTCATAGAAAAATTTCGATAAAAATTTCTCTTCATAGAAAAATTTCGATAAAATATTCTCTTTATAGAAAATTTTCGATAAAATTTCTCTTTATAGAAAATTTTCGATAAAATTTTCTCTTTATAGAAAATTTTCGATAAAATTTTTTCTCTATAGAAAATTAACGAAAAAATTTCTCTTTATAGAAAATTTTTGATAAAACTTTCTCTTTATAGAAAATTTTCGATAAAACTTTCTCTTTATAGAAAATTTTCGATAAAACTTTCTCTTTATAGAAAATTTTCGATAAAACTTTCTCTTTATAGAAAATTTTCGATAAAACTTTCTCTTTATAGAAAATTTTCTATAAACTATTCTCTTTAAAGAAAAGTTTTGATCATATTTTCTCTATATATGTCGACGAAATTTTCGACAAAGTTTTCTTTTCTTTGAAAATTTTCCAAAATTTTCTCTTAATAGAAAATTTTTGATAAAATTTTCTCTTTATAAAATTTTCTTTTTATTGAAAAATTTGGATCAAATTGTCTTTTTAGAAAATTTTCAATTAACAGTTTTTTCTATGAAATCGATCTGATTTTCTTTTTATAGAAAATTTTCGATAAAATTTTCTTTTTATAAACAATTTTACATCAAGTTTTCTTTTTACAGAAAATTTTACATCAAGTTTTCTTTTTACAGAAAATTTTACATTAAATTTTCTTTATAGAAGATTTTCGTTTCATTTAAATAGTTTATCAGTCTCAAAACGAATGGTTATGATTTTTAATTTTACTTCTTATGTTTGTAAATATTAAAAAAAAGTAATGAATTTGGCTACTTTCTGACACCTTTTTGACATCCATTATATCACCTGTCATAATAATCAAAATAAATAAAAAGTAAAGAAACATTAAAGAAATCTATATCACTAGAAGAATACATATATTTAGTTTTCAGTGTAATGTATTTATATAAAAATAAATTAAAAAAAAAAGAAACATATTAACATACATATAGTTTTAAAACACATACATATACACTTACTTAAACATACACAATGTGTATTTACACAAACATACATACATAGTTTTACATATAGTAAAATATATACTTAAATGTTTAGATTGTACTATATACATATTTATACTTTCCAGATTTAATATATATAAAAAACAGGAATTTGATACTAAGCGCGAATGGCCTCTAGTAAAACTAGCTATACCATTTGCCTTTTCTTATTGAATACCCTTAATGTTTTTCTTTTAAAATTCTTTTTTAATGTAATTGTATTGTATGTAAGAGTATATATTAAATATATGTATGTATTATTATAATTATTGTATTTTTTATGCATATTATTTTAATAAAACATTTATTTTGTAAAATTTATATAGATTTTATATTAGTGTAAAAGATAAAAGAAATAAAAAAAAGCAACAACAATAAGAAAAAGAAGAATGCATCAGATATTGTTTAATAAAATGTTTATAAATATAATAGATGTGATAATAAGTTATGTGGTTTTATTTTGTAATTAAAAATTGATTTAATTAGAAGCTGTATCAATTATTAAACAAAATTTGTTTAATAAACATGATTTTGTAACAATTAGTGTATATTTGATATGTAAAGTAATTGACTATAATGTCGATATTCAGAATATAAATAACTAGCAAACCCTGGGTGCTTCGCTACCCTAACCAAAATTAAATACATACAAAATTTTGTTTACTTTTATAGAAAATTAAAATTGATTAAACATTTTTTTAATGTTTCAGTTTTTTCCGTTCAATATCACGTGATTAAATTCGCATTCAGGAAGAAGCTTATACTTTTAGTTTCATTCGTTTAGCTTCCACATTATAGAACATTTCGGAAGTACTATTTGAAAAAAGTACTATAAAATACCTCTTATAGATTCTCATTTAATCAAAAATGCTATGTTTCTGTGTTCAATATTATAGACAATTCAAAAAATATAATTTGATGAATGATAAAGTACCAAAAATCCCTTTCATTAGACATTTTAAATTTTATATTTCTATGTTCAATATCGTAAAAATATCAAAAAGTACCATCGGAAAAACGAAAAAGTACAAAAATCTCTCTTAATAAATTCTCATTTAATACGGACCATGTGTTATGTGTTCCGGTTAACCATTATAGAGAATACAAAAAGTACCATTTGAAGAATGGTAAAGTACCAAAGAGTTCCCACTTACAGAATATTATTCAGTCAAGACCATTTATGCTAAAATTAATGTTCCTAGGTTGAATATTTTAGAAAATTAA